GACGGTGGTAGTTCCCCGTCTCTGCAACAGCATCTATTTTCTTCCTCACAATGTACCCGATCATCATCACCCTCATCATCCTCACAACCCTCATCTTCTTTGGCCTGAATATTACGTTAGAATGGATGGATTTGTCCCCCGCTGCAGCCACCTCTGGCCCCGAGCTCAAACGGATGGCTGTGCTGTTGTCACCACTTGCAGGTATTCATCCTCTTGATCCACTTGGACAAACACATGCTACCGCTCCAGCCGCTGGATTGCAGTTAAATTCACTGATATCGCAACCTAGGCCACTGGACCAATTCTCCGGCGTGGGGGTAAGCGCCACAAACAGCACCCGGGTCTCCGTAGGGAATATCCCTCGCGTGAGGCGGGTAGAAATGGTTTCCCGATTACATACTGAATCCCCCAGCATACCCGCCCCGCTCTTGGAGCCATTCATCCATCTACAGCCCTGATGTTGGTTCACTCTTCCTCACCTTTTCTAGTCACATTTACCGCCTACCATGTGCCACTGCCCTTCAGCTTATCGAGCCTCCTCCGAACGATCAGCGAACCCATCCGGCCTACAGCACCGCACTCTCCAAGCCTGACGATGCCGTGATCGCGGTTCCAAATCCGAGCGACGACTACAAGACTTGTGTTCTCAGTGGACTCAGTCCCAGCTCCACAATAGAAATCCGCACTCGTGTGCTCACCCTCTAGACCTATCAGGTGAGCAAGTAAATATCGGCGTCAGACCCATTCCCACTCTCAGGTGAGGTATTGACTATGGCCTAGATTTTTTTTCAAGAACAGGTTGCAAAACCCTTATGAACACGGGAATCTGAGATTCGAGGGGGGAACGGGGAGATTGTTCGCCGTGCTGATGCTGCGATATCAGCGTCGCGTAACAAAAGTGGTAGAATGGGGCTTGTTGAGGATAAAGTAAGGAAGAATCAAGAGTTGGTGCGGGGATGGAGAGAGAAAGCGAGGAAACTGGTACAAATACAGGTACTCGCCCCTCACATTTCCCATTCCCCACAAGAGGCCGCGTGCTGACACTGCAGAGGAACTCTACCATGAGCGTAAACGCCAAAAATTAATCTCCCAAGTGCAGCAGGCCGCTGCCGACCAGGCTGATCAATCCTTGAGACGTCCAGGACGGAGACCTGCCAATGGCGTGAGCATACTCCTTAATGGTAGATATTCCCTCTTTCCAATCCATTCACCTCACCCCGCTCAGCGTTCGAGTAGATAAAATTCCCTTCCTGTCAACTTCCTGTCAACGCTTGAACACCCAATCCACAGCTATACGATTCTCCGGTACACAGGGCGGGTGCTGTACACCACCTTTAACAGGGCTTAATGGGAATAGTGGGGGTGGGAGCATGGGAGATGGGGGTAAGTATGGAGGGCTTGTGGACGAGGATGGGCAGGTTGTTCTTGATTAACATTGAAGAGGAAACCTTGATTTTCTCGCCGCCATGATGGTGGTGATGTTTGTAATGTTTGGACACTAATTTGGTCAACTTTGTGACAAGGGTGAAACTTTTTTTCTCTGCCTCCCTCTCTTTTGTTTTCTTATCCATTGGTTAAAACAAATGGATCGTGAGGAAGGGGGATTTGAAGCAAATGATGTGCTATCCTTCAATTGATTTCTATGGGAGGGGAAATACCAATGCTACTCTATCCATACGTAGTTCCAGGCAAGTAGCGTGGCGAATGTATTCACAAAGCTCTCACAGGCCTCCCAGAAATCTCCAGATTACGCCAATGCATGCCTCAGCAAAGCCATTCCGGTTAAGGCAAAACTTTCTTAGGGTGCGGTATGATACCTCACTGCACTCCGCCACAACCCATACATCTATCCACGACCCCCTCCCTTGACCGGTCGTCTGAAGAGGACTTCGCGCGCAATCCACCCAAACACAATAATCCTCGCCGAAGCATAAGTTCCCTACCGGGAAAACAGTAGATGATGTGGGTCGGGCAAGCAAATCAGCGGGCAGAAATCAAGATCCTTGACGTAAACCGGATACCATCATCCAATGACACCCGATGCAGGGAGAATAACCTCACTTGTAGCCAAATTAACAGTGTCACGCCCGGTCGGGAACACACATGTGATTATAGAGGTATGCATCGCGAGATGGCGAGCAGCGGGATCAAGAAGGGGTGTGGTTGTTGGAGCGGTAGAGCATGTGTTATCATACCATGTTACTTATGGAGGGGGAAGGCGGGGGGGTAAGGCAGCGGAAAGGCGGGAGAGGTGGGTCTGCTTATGAATCTATTACCCGGTTGTTAGCAGGGTGAGTGATGTCTGGTGGTACTGGAGATTGTCTATATCATGCTATACGTATACCACCGGTAGAGTATCTACGGCGGAGGTTTGACTTAGGGGGTTCCGTTTTTTCTTTTCTTCTCTTTTCTCCTTTCTGCTCCCCCTCCCCCCTTTCTTCCCAGTTTAGATTGGTACGCCCCGCCCGGAACTCCCGACCTGTATTGTGATACGATCGACCGGTCGACTGAGATCGCGATATGACATGGTGCACCGTACTGTGTTTGGGTACGACACTTGCGTCTACAATATTCGGAGCTTGCAAGATAGCACCTCAGGTATGATACCGCACCAACTCCAGCTGTAGATATTGTTATCATAGTGAGGCGGGGAGAAAACCTTTTCCAATGACGCTGTTTTTGGAAAAATTCGGTAACGGTAGGTTCCATGAGAGATTTTCCTATCTGTTTTTGTTCTGCCGCTATCCGTTTTAATCCGGTCAATAGCTTCCGCCGCTGTCCTGTGGAGCTACAGAGACATTGTGAACGTTAAGAGAGCTCTGTGAACAGGAGTGTAGGGCACAGCGGGATTTACTCTAATAAATGTGGTTGATTTCCCTTAAATGTGGGATCTCATAGGGGGTTGAGGGAATATATCTCCGCCTCTGGTAGGGAGGAGAAAAAAGGAAAAAAAACCCCACCAAGATATAAGAGACTGGGAATTCCAACTATCATACCCAAACTGGGGGGCGCCAATATCTGCCATCGTGCCCCTAGTCCAAGCCCCACAGGAAACGAATGTCTGGGGATACCAGGGAGATGTGCGGTATACCGTGCGGATGGAGGCTAGGCGAGGGGGAGGAAGGGGGTCGGCTACCTTCAAGGCATGTGCAATAGGTCACCGCCTCTCCACGATCTCAAGCCGTACTGGCGTCCAGAGGTTTGTAGGCCTGTAGTGGCCTGGCTGTCTCGGGATGCTGGCTTTGGGTGGCCGACGGCAGCGGTGTCCTGCCCGTGTTGTCGGAAGTGTCGGGATCGATATCTCCACTGCCGCGAAGCAAGTGGACCACTTCCAAATGCCCCTCGTTCACAGCGAACATGAGCGCCGTTTGGCTCTGCCTGTCGCATTCCCCGTGGCCGACATCTTTCTCGCCGAGCAGTTTCCCCACCCCCCTTACATGTCCATTGCGTACCGCCCGCATTAGTGGAGTCCGCGACAAGGTGACGGAAATATCAGGCCTGACGTTCTCGCACTCAAGCAGCAGCTGCACAACACCCTCGTGCCCCATTCTCGCAGCGAACAGGGCTGCCGTGTCGCTGCAGATGCCACTCCCGTTGAGATCGACGCCCTCCCGCTCAATCAGTATCCACACTACCCCCCCCTGTCCTATCAGGGTGGCCAGCATGATCGATATCCGGCAATGCATGTCGTGCCCTGCGAAGTCGACGCCTTCCCCCTCCAGCAGTATCCCTACCACCCCCCCGTGCCCAGTGTGCGCAACCCAGGCGAACGGGTCCATCCGCATGCATCCCGACTTCCACGGTTGATACCTTCCGCTTTAGGAAGCCGCTCCACCACCCCCTCATGTCCGTTGGTAGCAGCCCACCCCGGCGGCGTGAACTGGGCCTGATCTGGAGTGTCAGTGGCGACGGCCTTCCTCTTGAGCAGCAGCGCCACGAATTCCACTTGCCCACTCATCACCCCCCCCCCCAGCTAGTGATGGTCGGCGCGCCGAGTATTTGACGGAGAGGGAAGAGCTGATAGTAGGGGCAACTCCATTGTTCGCGGGAGTTTTCTGCATCCTGCGCCATCAGTAAGCCTAAGGATCTATCAGACATTTTATGATATCAGTCACCCAAACATAGCTTTTGTTGCACTTGACCAGACGCAGGGTTGGGTGAGGCAACTGAACCATAAGTAGACTAGTACGGGTTTCGGGAGTACCTTCCCCTGCCGCCAGCGCACAAAAGCCTATAGCCCACCTCTCCAGCCACCAATAAAAAACCTAATATCCGTTCTCAAGGCGGCACAAATCAGACCCCTAGATCCCAGCAGTTCCCGTGGAGAGCTCTTCTCCCGGCACAACCCTTAAGAGATCTTATCAGGGCGACATCGTCTAGGTGCCGCGTAAGAATGGCGAACCATTTTCCTGGGTGCTGCTCAAATATTCGGTGGCACCGGATTTATTGGAAATCACAGCATGCTGCGAGGTATGCTCATCCGAGTCCCCGCCCCTCCTCCATTCCTTTCCTTTCTTTCCTTCCTTCCTCCCTTTTCTTCCGTAGTCCCTTGGTTCGTTCGCCCGGGCGCGCGGGGCCGAAGTTTTGGCTTCCGGGCGTGGATGGGAGGGATGGGAATGGTACGGTGCGCCGGAAAGAAGCCCGAGGCCGTATGCAGAGCCGTAACGGACGGAAGGAGTGCGCGGCTGAAGGGGTGGCGGAAAGGCAGTGGGAGGCTGTGCGGCAGGCCAGAGGGCGATAAGGAAAGCGTGATCCTGGAGGGGCCCTAAGTTTGTTAGTTTGTTGTGTGTGCTCAAGTAAGGACTTCCCTAGTGGCCGGGAGCGAGACTTTGACTGCTTTAGGGTCAATATTCACTCCTATTCTTCCCGTTAGTTTTTGTGTTTAGTTAGTTGCGCACGATAGAGGATAGAGGGTGTTAGAGAAAGAGAAAGAGAGAAAATAAGTGTTTTCCTACACCCTCCTCAGGCGATTGTGGGAGGGCTTGGCGTTTCGCATCACCGAGTGACAGGCTGTGATAGCGGGCGGCACCAAAAAGCATTGACACCACAATTCTGCTCCGGGACCACTTAACAAAGCTACCATTAGGGATGTGGTTGAAGATTTACTCGCAGATCATCGGTAGTATTAACCTTGTATGGCCGCAGGCGGGACCGGCCTGGAGGAAGAAGTTGTATTATATGCGGTATGTTCAAGTGTGTGCAGGAGCGGGGGTTCGTTAGTGGAGAAGAATAAATTAGCGGAGTTTAGGAAGCCAAAGCAGGATTTTTGTCAAGTCAGGGGTATCGTATCGGACTGGGCGCGGAAGAGTTACGCTGTGAAGAAGGGTTCAGGGAGAAGGATGGTCAGAGTGGGGGGCATAAAAGACAGAAAGGACAGGGGGCGAAGAAGGCTAAGAAAAGAAGACTCGACAATCTTTGGATGGGGAAATAGGTAAATTTCGATCTCAACAGGGTGCTTCGAGGATTAGCCCATACCAACACCGGTCGAAGATTCCAGAGGACCTATAATGTTTTCCCCACCCCACATGATCAGATCCCCTAATATCCGGGTAATCTTGATATACCCGCTCTCGCCCAATTCTGCTTCGTCTCCAGCCCACCCAGTCCAATCCAATGAACCAGCTCTATGACGGCAGGGAGTAAGCAGTAGAGGTGGCGCAGGAAACCATTTACATGCCTCCCCAACTTTACGTTCTCATTATGAACACCAGCCATTATATAGCTATTATACAGCCAACCATAAGATCATGTCTCTCATTCACCCACAACAGATACCTACACTCCAACCCTAGCCGGGGGCTTCATTAGTCTCCTCCTCCCTCCACATCTGCAGCACTTGGGGGTCTCATACTCATTTCTGTCAGGCTCAACTCTCTATAGAACCTCTTCATCAATTCCTTCAGAATACCACTTCCAGCTGCAATCCCTGTCCTTCCCTGCTGGAACTACTTCTGCCCAACCTCCTTACTAGCTAGCCGTTCCTGCTCTGCTATGAACACTGTCGGTGTAACGTACACTTCTGTGCACCTTTCCTGCTGGGTGGTGTGAAGGGTGGCCTTGTGGTCCAAGTCACATTAACGATATTTATCGGCACCTACTGCTAACGCTATCTCCTCGACTATCAAATTCAGGTGCATGCGGGCTGAGTTGTTTTTAGAAGAATCTGAGAATTACGAGTATACTTCACACCTTCCACCACTATCCTGTAGCGCATACGAGGGCAACGACGGACACATGCGTACCCGTGCTATGTACGAATCATCTCATCCTCGGATCAATCCAAGGTAGCCATTGAAAGAAACACCAAGTACAACACCACTCCTCCAACTCCCCCTGCTTTTCACCCTCACAACAGCCATCAAAATCCCCCTACCCCGTCCAGCGCCCCAAGCCGCCCCGGGAACTGGCGGGGCCCGATGGCGGGACTGCTAAGAGCTTTGGACGGGACGGGGCGGGCGGCCATATGCAGTCCGTCCTGGGCAGTGACAGTGGAGGATGGCCGTCTTCAGGTAGAACAGCGGGCCCTATGGGGTGAAACAGTGTGTACAAAGGACGGCGGGGGACTGCTGGCGACTGCCGGGAACAACATATTATACCACAAACACCCTCAGACATGGTTGAAACCTGCTGGCCGGCACGGTCATTTTGTCCCTAGGATTTCAGGTAGTATGACGGCAGTCCCCCATAGTCCGCCCTAGCACTGCCAAAAGGACGGACTACCGGCTGTAGTCTGTCCCGTCCTCCCACAAAGACGGACGGACTGGAAGGTTGGGAACACTAATTTTGTCTACTCAGAGCGGAAGAACTAGCATCAAAACATTCATCGTATCCGGACCACTTAGACCGACCGAATTGGCTTCCACGGAAGTCGTGAAGGAGGTTTGGGCTATGGTGGGAGAGGAGTACAGAGGCAACGTCGTCGTGGTTGACGGGGCTGCTCTCCTTCTTCACGGCTGCCCAATTTCCACCACTAACGCCGATCCTGCCATCACCCCCCAATCACTACACAGGTTTGAAACACTTGTGAAGCAGGAACCCCGCTTTCCCCAAAGCATATTCAGGGAACGGCGATTGCAATCACGCCATGGACTTTGTGTCGATATCGACTTTTGGACAGGACAGGAGAAACCAGATGCCTACACCAGGGTAGCGAGTATTCTCTCATTTCTGGCATACCAGTGGCTGCCTTGATGAACCTAGCCATTGGAAAAGCCGGGGCCTGCCGTCGGGCGTGGGAATGGAGAATCTCCGTGGCTTCAAGGGTGTGGTCATGAAAATGACGGAAAATGGTTTGGATTTCAAGTGGTTGAGTAAAGTGAAGCCCAAACCCCGATGCGACACAAGGATTGAACTTGGGGGGAAGAGAGACAAATGGGGGTTTCTCAGGGCGGTTAAGACCCTGTTGTAGTGGGTTGAAAATATTCACTGTGGAAGGAGAGTTGAATGAGGGGCGGTAATTGAGGTCCATTCGACCCTTAGGTTATTATTGGGGTACAACCTTTTTCTTTATTCAGTGAGGCTGAAGAGGATTGCTTCGGAGGTATACATCGGTGTTAATCATTGCTATCAATATACTGCATCCCCATATCGTCTAGCACTAACCACCTAATATAGTCTCACAGTACTTTCATGATAAATGGAACCTTCGGCCCCGAGGTTCCATGAAAGGTTTTAGGCGCTTGCGGTCACGGCTCATAACTCGGCGAAACGAAACCGCAAGTACTAAAGAAAGCAGGTTAACAAAAAACTGTTCTTCGCTTCTCTATCTCTGTCATTAATACCCTCTCTATTGCGCGCTACTCTGCTAACATCTAACCACAAAACAAACAGGAAAAACAGGAGTAGAGATCAAGCAAATCTCACTCCCCCCCTCCCCGGAGGTAGGTGCTCACCCACCCCCACAAACAAACCACAAACTGACTACTAAACAAACTAACAAAGATCAAACACCGAGTCTCCTTCCCTTTCCTTCCGCGCACACTCTCCTCCCGGCCATCCCACTGCCTTGCGCTTTCCTTCCTCCCTCCGGGCCGCCTTCCTTCGTGCTGCCTCGCTCCACAGGTGCACCGGAGCGCGCCCGTCACCCCCGCCGCGCACTCATGTGCAAGTGAACAGACGAACGAACGAACTACAAACGAGCAACGGGAAGGAAGGATGGAATGGTAGGAGGGGGGGGGGGGTGCGGGGTGCTAGGCCTATGAGTCCAGTGGAGTGTGCCAAGCAGAATTTCAACAAAAAGCTGCATATTTCTCCTGGCTCTCCATAATCCTCTTGTTCTCTCTTTCTTGTCACCGCTACCGCCGGGTAAAGTATCCCGCCAATTGTTTGGTGTTTTTAACTTTCAAGAGAAGCTTTTCTTGCTAGAGGGGCGACTCTATTGTTATGAGATGTTGGCTGAGAAGACAAGAAGGTAAAGACGGAAGAAATAAAGATGTCGGGCTAGTAGTTTTAGATACGAGTATCTTGTATCTTTTATTGCTTATCCTTTTATCTGAGTAACAGGAAAGGACTTTATATAGACAAATCAAGAGCACTCCAGACATAGTGTTCCAGCCACCACAAGAAACAAACAATCGCAAACACACCATGCTTCTCCAGGGGTGCCTCCGGTTGGTCCCATACAATGCCGGAGTTCTAGTACCTTCGCTCACGGAGAAATACATGACTCAGGCTTAAAGAGAAGAATAAACTAACAAAGGAGTGACAAATAGAAAATAACACAGGAGAGGTATTTATCCGTTGACCGAGATCTAAGCACATGGAATGATCGCCGGTGATATTCAACATATCATTCGATCCTCACATCCCAATACTGGACAATGATAGCCATACAAGTGCTATAAAATCAAGCATCGAAATTCAGGGCAGACATTACTCCATACCGGTACTCATTTACAGGAAACTCATTCCTTG